GCGAACGAAATTTCGTTCACAAGCGCATTCAAAATGTTGCAAAAAACTTATGTCGATGATTCTTTATTGTAAACATGTACGTTTGAGTAGTTTAAGAAGTTTCAAGAAGGACGATTCGTTGAAGACGACCCACGCTCTGGAAGATCATCAACATCAACGGATGACGCTCACATTGAGAAAGTGAAAGAATTGGTGCTCCAAAATCGTCAATTGACTGTGCGAGAGATAGCAGATGAAGTTGGAATATCATTTGGATTGTGCCAGCACATTTTGTCCAATGTACTGGTGAAACGAGTCGCATCGTGTTTGATTCCGAAAAACCTGAATTTTCTCCAAAATTTTCTCCAAAATCTCAACGAATGTTCTCCAAGTACCATATTCACCAAACATGGCCTGCGACTTTTTCCTGTTCCTCCTACTGAAAAAACCATTTCGCGGACAGCGTTTCGAATCGATTGAGGACATCAAAGAAAAATCGCTGTGTGAATTGAAGGCCATACCGTCTGCCGCGTATGAGCGATGTTTCCAGGACTGGATCAAACGCTGGCATATGTGCATTGCAAGCAATGGGGACTACTTTGAAGGAAACTATAAGAATTTTGATGATTGAATTGTAATTTTGATTTTTAAAAATGGAGTTCGGATATTTTTTGATTACAGTAGTATTAATCAACCTGCGTAGAAACTGATGCATAATAAGTTATATTCATTCATACAAAAATTTTGATTTGTATGAAGATGGAAGTCGATAAGACGCATATTTGTCATTGTATGCTTTTTTGGTAAAAATGCCAAATGGGGACCCCGCTCCTATGACTTTGACCTTGACATATGTTGTCAAGGACACCTTCCTGAGTAATGTGCAAAAGGTTTTAGCCGTCGCTCGTTGTTCGTTAAAAAGTTATTGCTAAAAATTTTCATAAACGCGCAAGTTGGAAGTGTGTTTAGCACGGCGCGCTACATGCGCCCCATCCCCACTCCCCGATATTTACCCAAAAGTGATTGAAAACAAACGATGGGAAGAAGATGAAGAGAGGCAGGTGAAATGAGGGTGGGGCGGGGATGTGGTGGGGAGTGGAGGTGGAGCGCACGTAGCGCGCCGTGCTAAACGCACTTGCAACTTATGTATATACCAAATTTTTTTTGTTAATAACTTTTTAATAAACAATGAGCGACGGCTGCAACTTTTTGCATAACACTCAGGAACATGTCCTTAACAACATATATCAAGGTCATGAACTTTTGAGGGGGTTGATCTAATGTGCATATTTATCACAACTTTTTCCCATAGAGATAAAGTAGTAAGTTGCAAGTGCGTTTAGCACGGAGGGGAAGAGGTAGGGGACGGACGGGAGAAGAACAGGGGAGGGGCAGGGTGGGGCTGAAGTAGGCGGCGCGCGTAGCGCGCCATGCTAAACGCACTTGCAACTTACGCATAAACCAAACTTTTTTTGCTAATAACTTTTTAACAAACAACGAGCGACGAGTAAAATCTTTTGCACGTTTCTCAGGAAGGTAGCCTTGATAACATATGTCAAGGTCAAGGTCATATGAGCGGGGTCCCCTATTCGGCATTTTTACCGCTTTTTTTATTTCATCAACGCAAAACAGTCGCCGAAGAAACTAGAACCATTTGCAAAACTTATGGTGAGGGAACGATAGTTGAAAGTTCATGTCATGAGTGGTTTCGGTGCTTTAAAAGTAGCAACTTTTATTTGAAAGACAAGGAGTGTGGCGAACGACCGCAAGAGATGAGTTCGAATAACTTGGAAATGTTATTGCAAGAAGATTCGATTCAATCGAGAGCTTGCGAAAAAGTTACATTAATTAGAGCATTGTATTTTAATTTGACCCATACATGAGATGAGGAAAATTCTGAAGAAAGAGAAATGGATTCCCCATGAATTATCCGAGAACTTATTGCTAGCCATTTAGCTAGCCTTTCGCTGCTTAATAGATACAAACACAAGTCTTTTTTATATCGAATTATGATCGGGAACGAAAAATAGATTTATTATGAAAATCCTAATCTTAAAAGATCATGGGTAAATCCCGGAGAACCTTCCACGTCACAGCCAAAACAAAATATACATGGTCATAAGGGCTTCCTGTCCATCTGGTGGGATATACAGGGTGTCCAATTTTAAAGTTTACAGTGCTATATTTCGCAAATCGATGATTTTATTGCAAAATGTTTCAAACAAAAGTTGTAGGGTTCAGAGGGATACATTTGACGGTGACCTTGGCTTGATTTTGGATTGTCGTTTGAAGGTCACGTAAAGGTCAACTTTAAAATCCTAAATAGAACCCCCATTTTTATTACACATTATTATAGCCCTTATCGAGACGTTTTCTAAACACTACCTACTTTTGTCTTTTGCGTAAGCCATTCCCAAGATATGAAGCTTCAAAGTTGACACATCGCCGGCATTCGCATTACCCGATGTACACCGCGGGGAAGTTGCTCGGTCGGATTTGTACATCATAGTGGCCCTAAAAAGGGTCGATTTTATGTGTGTGTGTGTGTGGGGGAGGGGGAACTCATTCATCATAGATGTTCGAAAACGCCGTCATCGACAGCTCAACACACTCGAACTCGCTTTTCGAAACTTTCGACGAGTTTCAGAAGAACGTTTGCTGGAACCGCTCGGCACGCATTTCTGATGCGATCCATCATATTCTGCCGCATTGTTGGCGATTGACGGAACACTGCGTCTTTAAAAAATCTCTACAAATAAAAATCCGGAGGAGTAAGGTGATCGGGTGATCTTGATGGCCACTAAACTGGACCATCCCGACCTATCCATCGATGAGGGAAAGTGGCATCGAAGTGATTCCCGAAGGAAAGTAAACTATAATATACAAATCCGACCGAGCAACCTCCTTGCGGTGTACGTCGGTAATGCGAATGCCGGCGATGTCAACTTTGAAGCTTCATATCATGAGAATGACTTACGCAAAAGACAAAAGTAGGTAGTGTTTTAAAAACGTCTCGACAAGGGCTATAAGAATATGTAATAAAAAATGGGAGATTCCACTTAGGATTTTAAACTTGACCTTTATATGACCTTCAAACGATAATCCGGGGTCAAGCCAAGGTCACCGTCAGATGTCCCCCTCTGAACCTTACAACTTTTGTTTGAAACATTTTTCAATAAAATCATCGGTTTACAAAATATAGCATTGTAAACTTTAAAATTGGACACTCTGTACAAAAAATACTGTATTATGAGTTGTTAAAGCCATCTCAGACTATCATCGCGGAATTATACAGTCGACAATTTAGGCAGGTGAATGAGCAATTGATCGAGAAACGGCCATATTTTACGACAAAACAAAACAAAATGATCCTTCTGCGTCACAATGCTAGGCCTCACATCGCATTGATGACCCGGGAAACTTTAATGGAATTGCAACGGGATGTTCTACCATACCCGGTATATTCTACAAATATTGCCCCATCGGATTTTCATTTATTTCGTTCTATGCAACACACTCTTTCTGGTATACGATTTCGCATTGTTGAAGAAGTGCAACACCCAAAAGAAAGTACTCTATTTGTAAAGTGATTTTCCCTATAGTATTATATTCTAGGCGAAGTCTCTGACAACAAGAAGATTCCTCTTTCGATAAAGTGATTAAAGTAAACCGTTCATCTAAAATTTATTAGATATTATTTTAACTATTTTCCTCTTATTTGAAAAGAATTTCCTTTTGTATCAATTAATTTTCCTCTTACATCAAAAGGATTATATCTTGTCGGCGTTTTTCCTCTTCCATCTATTCACACAGAGACTCTTTGTGCATATGATGCTCGTCACCGTTGTCTTTTGTTTTATGGACAGTGTCGAGAAACATAGAGTAAAGGAGAAAATAAGAGAAATCGTTATTCAGTGTATGTTGTTTCGTCATGAACGAAGCGCAAGAATTTTTAGAGAAAATCGACTTAAAAACATACTAGCCTATATTTCAGCATAAATACATACATATATACATTTATCGTATCGCATTGCACAATACATTAAATGCCATTTAGGATACTTAAAATTACAAATTTATGTTTTTTCCTATTTTTTTAGCAGAAAGTCAAAAAGGATTTAACTAGAATTTTTTCTGGACAGTTTCATACAATAATTTTCTTTCCTTTTTCTATAAAGGAACGTATAACTAGTAAGAATAAAGTGCAATAAGAATAAATAATAATCCTCTTAAAAAAAGATTAAGTAATCTATATATAAGAGGAAATTTATATTAAAATCAATAAGATTTGCACCATACATATAACATATAATTCCTCTAACTTTAAGAATAATATATTTATAATATTTTCCCATATTTTTAATTTTAGAGGAATCCTCTTGAAGCTATATATAAGAGTAAAATCTTTTAAAATTTAGATGATTCCGCTTGTTTTGAAATTACTTTATTTTGGGTGTAACAATTCATTGATAACTTCATTCATTCTAAGAGTAAAGACTTCTTTTATCGTGGTCCATCTTTTGCCTGAAAGATGGCAAAAGTAGTAGATAATGCTGGAAAATATTTTGATTAAAAATATTATGTCATTTATAATAATATTACCTCAAAAACGATGGAAACGAATGGAAACTCTTAATACGAAATTATTATCTTCAATGTTTTCAAACTTTCAAGTACTCTCTCCGCGCTACTTGCTCTTTGCGATGCAACTACGTTATTAAAATTTGCGCCTTTGGTGCAAATTTTCTGCGGTGACGTCGCGCAATAGCATGTAATAACGTTACATCCAAAAATTATAATACGTTTCGCAGATTCACAGAACATGAAAACGCGGAAAAGTCGCGTTAGCAACTCTATGCGCGCCCGCCTGATTAAAGCGAGAAAATGTACCATACATTCGCAATGGCCGTGACCGCTACATTTCTCTCCTTCGTCCAACCGTCGATTCGCTATTACCTCGGCGATTTGTAATATCCTGCGCGACAGGACGTTGAACTGATCGACTTGCTCCTTTTTCGCAGGATGATGAGCCACCGGAAATCACGTATTGCGTGGTGGAGCACACGGGCACGCTCACGCTACAAGCGATGACGCCGACTCTGCCGATGCCGGCCGAGGATGAGCTGAACAAAATGTTTCTCGAGCTCGTCGACGAGCTCGACCTGACCCAGGCGAATCGGCAGGCGGTTTTGGCACTTCCGGCCAACAAGAAGTGGCAGATTTACTGCTCCCGGAAAGGTAATGGAACTCTTGACAACGGTGGGCTGCGGACCACTGACCTCAGCGGCGATCCCGAGGACTACATCAACAGGTTGAAAACTATAGCGAGTGTGAGTACAAACTAGCGACTATTACGCTAGTACGTAATTGTCAAATACTTGTCGGATATGCACACAAACGCACGATTTGTTTCGTTGCCTTCGCGCTGTATTTAACCTTAGTCTCTCGAGTGAATTCTAGTCCGACGAGTTTTTCTAAATATGCACGCACGTTGAAAGCGAGAAACGGCCCGTACAGAATGGAAGCAATTGCAAATTTTTCATAAAAGAGCAAATCCGAGACGTGTACGTCCTTGATGTCGATGGACGTTTGCAATGAATGTTCACTTACTGGGGGAACTTTATTATTTCTTTCCTCTATTTTTGCATTCCACTAATTATGGTCATGAGCATTTCCTCTCGCTCTTTCTTATCGAGAATCGGATCGAGAAGAGCGTAAGAGGAATCAGGCTACAGAGCTCTGTAGCTTCCGTAAGCTCCATGGACAATTCGCGATCCTTACGGAGAGTTGTCCGTGTTCCCGCATTGCTCCCGTTGCTCGTAAAAGTCGCGGTAATAAGGCAGCTTAGTTAACGACTCTGCCGGAAGACTACGAACATCGATTGAGGGTGGGAATTTCTATCTCTTCTATCGGATTATTTCCTTTCTTGCTTAATCTCTCTCTCTCTCTCTCTCTCTCTCTCTCTCTCTCTCTCTCTCTCTCTCTCTCACTCTCTCTCTCTCTCTCTCTCTCTCTCTCTCCCTCTCTCTCTCTCCCTCTCTCTCTCTCTTTCAAGTATTTCTCATTAGCATGCCGCTAATTGTGTTGCAGAGTCCTTTCCCGGAGGAAGGCGAGGAAGTGTCGAATCAAATGCGCCAAGTCGAAGCCCTGAAGACTGCCCTGAGGACACAGCCGCACAGCTTCGTTCTCAGATTCATCGAGTTGGATGGCCTGAACGCTCTGCTGCAAGTGCTGGGCACGATGGATGCCGAGGCGGCCAACAGCAACCTCCACACCAGCGTCATCGGTTGCCTGAAAGCCTTAATGAACAATTCGGTGAGTCTCGCGACACTGTCTCACGTCGCAGCGCGACCACCTTGATTCTCCTTTCTTTTCCCTCTCCTTTTTCTCCTTTTCTTCGTTTTAATTAAAGATTCTCCAGCGCCAATCAATTCTCAGAGAATCCATCAAAGTCTCGTTCTTCTGTTTCAGAACGGGAGAGCACACGTGTTGGCGCATCCCACAGCGATCAACACGATATCGCAGTCGCTGGCGACTGAGAACATAAAGACAAAGATCTCCGTGCTGGAGATCCTCGGCGCTGTCTGCCTGGTGCCAGGCGGTCATCGCAAGGTCCTCGAGGCCATGTTGCACTTCCAGCAGTATCATTCCGAGAGAACGCGCTTCCAGTGTATTATCAACGACCTCGACAAGAACTTCGGCATCTACAAGGACAATCTGTCCCTGAAGACGGCGATCATGTCGTTCATCAACGCAGTACTCAACTATGGGCCCGGTCAGGTGACGCTCGAGTTCCGGCTGCATCTGCGATACGAGCTGCTGATGCTCGGCATACAGCCGATTATCGAAAAGCTGAGGAAGTACGAGAACGAGACGCTCGATAGGCATCTCGACTTCTTTGAGATGGTACGTAACGAGGACGAGAAGGAGCTCGCCAGGAAATTCGAGAAAGAACACGTGGATACCAAAAGCGCGACCGCCATGTTTGATCTTCTGCGACGAAAACTCAGTCACACCGCCGCCTATCCTCACCTTCTCAGTCTACTCGAGCATTGTCTCCTGTTGCCACGTGAGTCCTTGAATCTCAAATGGAGAAAGTCCCTTACATCGCAACCCGATCACTATGACGCAATTTATCGTCGATATTGTTGTTCTTCTTCCAGTGGACTATGGCTCACACCCTCAACATTGGCTGCTGTTCGACCGGATCGTGCAGCAGATTGTGCTGCAGTCCGAAAGCAATGAGACGGGGTCTGTAAGAAACCCTGATATGGCACCGATCGAGATCAACGTGAAGGAGATTGTCCACTTGCTTGCAAAGGAGGAGGAACTTGTGGCGGCGAGGAAGAAGGCCGAAGAGTTAGAGCGCGAAAACTCGGACATGTCCACGAGGTTGGCGAAGAAGGAGCAGGAGTTAGATCTGAGGACTCAGGAAAAAGTACGATCGGAAATCTATAGATTCGTTCTTCGAGAATCACACAGCCGATCTTACGTCTCGTATTCTTCTTTGAAAACTTCACCTTCAGTGAAGTTCCTTTCGATTTTTGGACAAAGTTGCGGATAATTCCTGATTTTGTCCATTCAAACCTTACGACACGAAAGAGAGCGTTGTACAATATTTGCAGGAAGACATGGAGGCAAGCCTGGCTAGGATCAAGGAGCGCCTCGAGAAGGAGATGTCGATGCACATAGAGACGAAGCAGAGAATCTCCGAGTTGCAAGATAACCTGGAGACATTGTCGCGACAGATTAACAATGAGAAGTCCGAGAGGAAGCGTCTGGAACAGCTAGTGGCATCGGGGAGTCTGCCGGACGACGCAAAGGCCACTTTAAAAATCGTGGAAGACGAGGTGCTCGAGAAGGTTGAGACCAAGCCCACTCCGCCTCCGCCGCCGCCACCTCCATTAGCACCTCCGCCACCTCCTTGTATGATGCCGGCGGCACCTCCGCCAATGAAGGTTACTGTTACACTTTTTATTACATTACCATTTTGTGACTATTAATGATAATGATAATTCATCGTCTCCCACATACACTATCTATTTGCGCATTATTATCAAGTATATAATTTACTTATATATTTGTTATTTAATATGTAAGTTTCAGTAATTTGTCATACACAATTTTGTTAACAAGATGTGATAATTGACAGGTGTGTGTTTATATTACTTATACAATTCACATGTAAGTTATATTAGGAGTGTGATTTAGTTTTGAGAGTTTTGCAAGAGATGGTACTAATGTCAGTTTTGTTAAGACGCAATAAAAATCATGTTAATACCATTTTAAAAATGGAGCTTCCTAAAGAGCATTTTCGAAATACGTTGCTTTTGTTTTTTAATCGGAAGAAAACGGCGGCTGAAGGTCATAGAATTCTGATAGAAACTTATGGTGATGTTGCAATTAAGACAAGTGAATATTGTTTCAGACGATTCAAAAGTGGTGATTTTAATATTAACGATAAAGATCGTTCGGGATAACCAAGCAGCTTAAAAATGCAGATTTGCAAGCGTTATTAGATGAAAATCCAACACGATTCACTTCAGAACTTACCAGAGCATTAAATCTTGATCGTACAACAGTTATTAAACGTTTACATGATATAGAAAAGATTCGCAAAGAAAGAAAATAGGTTCCATATCAATTATCGGAAAATGTCATTGCGTATCGGTTAAACATTTGCATTTCATTGATTGCCAGATAATAATGAAGAAGTTATTTGTATCGAATTGTTACTGGGAATGAAAAATGGATCTATTTCGACAATCTTAAACAAGAAAAACCATGAGTTAATCCAGACCAAGCAATATCCACTTTGAGGCGCAATACTCACGATACAAAGGTATTGCTGTGTACTTGGTGGGGTCAAGAAAGTGTACTATGAAAGTAGTATGTGGGAAGGTATGGCCCGTCAAAACATTCCCCCTCCACTCGATCTCCCGGCGCCAATAAACCACGCCCACCGGCGCCGGTTGGTCGAGTAGAGGGGGAATGTTTTGCCGGGCCATACCTCCCCACAGGCAAAAATTGATCGACTTTTGACATAAGCAAATTATGGCCGGAACTAGTAAAATGGCGGACATTATTAGGGATTTGGCGATTATTCTGGCTCTTTTGACCGGTTTACTTAATTTACAATATTGCATTTGCGGAAAAACTCTGTAAGGTGCTGCATGGATTCGAACCTGGGGACCTCCTGGAGCTTTTGACTCACGCGCGTCTTACCACTACACTACTGCTATACCCTGATGGAAACTAGTTCTATTGCCTACATACGGAAAGTATCGTCGTCACAAGTTTTGGAAAAACTCTGTGGGGTCCCCCTTGCTCGGATTCGAACCGGGGTCCTCTGGGCTCTTGAGGTTAAGAACCGTCTTACCATTGTGCTACTGCTGCTCTCTGGTAGAAACTGGCTTCACAACATACTCGTATAACAGGGTGAGGTGTATGTGTGTGTGTGCGTGTGGTTATCCCCAGCATGTGTGTTGTTCTCTGGAAAAATCCTGTAGGTTCTCCTCGGATTCTAACCTGGGTCCATTAGCACTTGAGTCAAGCGTCTTATACACTACGCTATTGCTATACTCTGATGGAAACTAGCTATATTGTATACATACGTAGAATATTGACGTCACACGTGGAAAATTTCGAAAATTCTAGGCTCTACGGACTCGAGTCTCTGAGGTCCCTGCTCTTGAGTCGCGCGAGTGCGTGTGAACATGTTCGAGCAGATAAGGATAATTTCGAAGTAAAAACTACTCAGCGATTGTTAGAAGACGATACCTCCGGTCTATGTCTACCCGAACCGAATATTTTTACCTGTGTATGTCCCTTCGCTTTCGAACTCGAAAAGTTTACAACGGGTCTTGTTACCGCGAATTGGAGATCACAGGGAAGAGAGAAGAGGTGGAGAGTAAGGAATATACAAAATTTTTATAGAATAAATTCATATTTTATTTTTGAGGTTACATTTGTAGCTTTGCAAGCATTCGTAGCACTCTACATTCGTTACAATTTCGCGTATAATTTCATTTAAATGAATCGAGGTTAATTCATAGAATACAATATTAAAGTACGAGTCTAAAAATGGTAAATTGTTTTCGGTTTTCGGTTATTCGGCGTCGTACGTTTTCTTCGATTTCTCGATATTTACCAGTGAGCGTTTGTTTCATGAAATCTTCGTTTACGTCTTTCTTCAGCAGATTAAACTCTATCTCGGATATTAAAATACACTTACAATTATTTACAAGAGCTGTAACCGATTGTAAGTGCTCATATCTAACGTCGATACATTTCACGATAGTTTCCAGACCATCAAAAGAAGTCTTCTGCATTACAATATTTTCCGTGTATAATTTACGTATCTTCAACGATGGCTGCTTCAAATGTCTGGAGTCCTTTGATGTCTTCTTCACAGATCCGCTTTCGTTCTCCATTTTCCCTCGTTAGCTCACCATTATAGCCCGTGCACCGTACGCAGAGGTAAAGCTGATGGTGATGTTAATGATGATAGGGGTTGGCATATTCTTATTTTCCCCGCACAAGTAAGAATTTGCAGAGGGTATAATATCTTCAAATTTCTCCTACGTATTTAAATCAAGGAGAATTCCTGAAGCCGTATTTCCCATTATCTTGATCGCCGGCTCGAATGTTCCCACGTCGTACATGGTGCGCAACCCAACTTGCGCCCTCTTAGTGTCCGAATTGTTAAGAGCGTAAGTCATGCATAGAAGCACGTTGCGTTCGTTTCTCACTTCTGTAGAGAGGCTGTTCGATGTCTTCTTAAGATCAGCGTTCACGTTAGCAACGGACATTATTCGTGCAAGAACTTGTAACTCACACAAGAACTAGCTATGCAGTGAGTAGAAGCAACGAAGCTTCCGCGGTGGCCCCGCTAGCTCATATCCGTGGAAGCGCCACGTTGAATAAGCTTTTTCACGTGGCGCTCGCAGCCGCGGGAATAGCTTATTTTAGCGCAGCTAGCGATATTAGCTTGTCAGCGCGAAGCTGTGAGCTAATAATCGTTCAATGAGCTCGTACGAGCGAACACTTGTGAAAGAGACAGCTTCTAGCGATACAATTTGCTAAGATTTTATTGTGATTCGAGGGAGCGTATTCAAGGATAGAAATACATATATATTTATAAGTGAATTTATTTCTTTATTTTCGCAAAATAATTATTTTAATATTATATACATACGGTTTGTACAAAAGTTTTTCTGCTAAACTACTGTGTACGCAATATTCAGATAAGTCATTATTGAGAGAAAACAGTCGTATATTTTTACACAGAATACTTAACTCTATATTTATCACATTTATATTGTCCTGTGTTGTCGAATCTACGTTTTAGTAGCACAGGCATGCACGACTTGCTCTCGTCTCGTCGTTACGACGTCGTGAAATGCGGTATGCCGAATCGCTCTAAAACATAGATTCGACAACAACACAGGACTCTCTCTGCCATATGGCTATGTAGCGTCGTAAGAGAATAGTCGGTTGATCCTTCTCCTCCATCGAATCTGAACATTTATTTCTAGAGAATAAGAAAAATGTATAAATGTAAATATAGAGTTAAGTATTCTGTGTAAAAATATACGACGTCGATACTTTCCGCATATAGGCAATATAACTAGTTTCCATCAGGGTATAGCAGTAGCGTAATGGTAAGACGCGCGTGAGTCAAGAGCCCCAGAGGTCCCCAGGTTCGAATCTATGCAGCACCTTACAGAGTTTTTCCGCAAATGCAATATTGTAAATTAAGTAAACCGGTCAAAAGAGCCAGAATAATCGCCAAATCCCTAATAATGTCCGCCATTTTACTAGTTCCGGCCATAATTTGCTTGTGTCAAAAGTCGATCAATTTTTGCCCGTGAGGAAGTATGGCCCGGCAAAACATTCCCCCTCTACTCGACCAGCCGGTGCCGGTGGGCGTGGTTTATTGGCGCCGGGGGATCGAGTGGAGGGGGAATGTTTTGACGGGCCATACCTTCCCACATACTACTATCTGTTGCCGAAATGATGAGAAAAAGTCTTAGAAAACGAAGGAAAATATTTTGATTATATTATTCGTTCATTATCTTGTTTAAGTAAATCAGCTTTTGAGAAAAGGAAACCACACTCAAAATTAAATCACACTCCTAATAATTAATAAAATCCTGCGGGAAATTTTGTTATAACTTCAATAAACATTTTCAACAGCAACGTGCAATAACAACTACAGAACAGCTTATATCATAAGTTGTTTATCGTGAATCGGAATTGTTGATCGGAACAATTCGCAGGTGGAGATAATAAAGAACGTGCCGCAGCCGAGCAATCCCCTAAAGTCATTTAACTGGTCCAAGATACCCGAGCAGAAGCTACAGGGCACGATATGGTCCGAGCTGGACGACACGAAGCTTTACAATATTATGGATCTCGAATCCATCGACAAAATTTTCTGCGCTTATCAGAAGAATGGCGTATCCACGGAGGGTTCGATAGAAGATTTGAGAACGTTAGGAAAGAATAAGAAGACAATGTCAGTGATCGATTCGAGGAGAGCGCAGAATTGCACGATACTGCTGTCGAAGCTAAAGATGACTGATAACGAGATCACCAGGACGATACTGTCGATGGATCAGCAAAACATTTTGCACATTGACATGGTGGAACAATTGCTGAAGTACATACCATCATCGGAGGAAGCCGCTTTGTTGGACATGCATCAGAAGGATTTGCAGAATAGGGCCGATTGCTTCCTGTATCAGATATCGAAGTGAGTGGCATTTTTGTTTACCCTATCGTAATGATAGGGTATCGTTCTGATATTTGTCATTTCAACTAACAACAACCAATCTAAACTAATACAATCTTTTAATCTTAATCTGAATCTCAATCTTAGTTAATGATCTCGAGTACTCACAAATCATTCCAATCACTTCTATCGATGAGCAGTCTAACAAAAAGAAAATACGAATCTCCAGGGTGCCTCATTATGAGCAGAGGTTGCGATCGCTGCACTACAAGAAGAAATTTGCAGCCAGTATCGCCGAATTGACTCCGAGGATGCGAGCGGTTCTAGAAGCGAGCCGGCAGGTAGCCAGATCCCGAAGACTCAGGAAACTGCTGGAGTTGGTGTTGGCGTTGGGAAATTATGTGAATCGCGGAAACGCACGGGGTAACGCGTGTGGCTTCCGGTTAGCTTCCTTGAATCGTCTAGTCGACACGAAATCCTCTTGCTCCAAGGGCACGACGTTGCTGCACTATCTCGTGCAGATCCTCGAGGCCAGATTCAGAGAGGTCCTGGAGATCGAGGAAGATATGCCGCATGTTAGGACCGCCGCCAGAGTCAGTATGGTCGATCTGCAGAAGGAAGTGGCTAACTTAAAGAACGGATTGCAAGATGTTCAGAGGGAAATAGGTAATGATGGATAATGCTTGAGTTCGGAAAATTATAGATAATTAAAGATAATTAGACACGGCTTGGAGACATAATATAAGGAAACGAGCTCAAATTTTGATCAACTAGAGATGTTTACGTCTTTTCACGTCTCTAAGTTTGCGAAATTGATGATGGTTACCAAAGATGTTTGTTCTTTTTCGAGCCTGAAAATTGAAATTCGCAATGACGAAAGTGATATTTGAGAATGGACGAAAGGAAGAAACTGGGGAAATTTTATTATACTGTTCGTACAGCTTGCGTTTAATTTGGAATTCTTTGTTTCTTACAGAATTCCATCGAGGTCAAGCTCAAGTACTTCAGGGTGATATGTTCTTACCGGCAATGAGGGACTTCCAGGCGCAAGCCACGTGTAGACTAGCCGAGGCGGAGGACTTGTTCCAAGACATGAAGACCAGGGTTAGAATATATTTTTTTTCATTATTACTAAAGATTACCAGCAAAAAATTTAATCATAATGATCATTTTCTTTCTGAAATAGTTTGATCGAGCGGTTAGGCTATTTGGTGAAGATTCGGCCGGCGTCCAGCCAGACGAATTCTTCGGTATTTTTGAAAATTTTTTGCAAGCTTTGGCCGAAGCAAGACAAGATGTGGAGAACATGAGGAAGAAGGTCGAAGAGGAAGAACGTAGAGCGAAACAAGAGCAAGAGGTAGATTCAACCGATAAATACTCGTACATCGCGTTAATAATACACAGTATTTTCTAATCTTTCTCGTTTCATTTATTTTTATTTTGTTCTACAAACTTTTCTGTTGTTTTCCAATTTTCAATTGTTATCAAGTGTTCAAGTATTATCTTATATTTTTAAAATCTTCATTATTAAATTCTTCATAATTATTCACGTTTGATAAATAATGTACAGGATGTAACATCAACGTACAGATCAATATGACGGGTTGCCTGTCCCCATATGGACGATAATAATATAGAGGTTGCCGAAAAAGTTAATCTTGTCGATAATGATATTTGCAATGCTTTCAGATATGAGTAGTGCAACTAATTTTGCACCAGAATCGTTTATGGCAGAAGTCAAGTCACTCATTAAAAATTCCTCATTAGAGTGTAGAATGCTCGTGTTCTGAACTCTTCTTATCGGAAAGAAATGGCTTATAAAACTTCTGATTTCTTAAATTGCAAATACTCTGACAAATAAATAATATTTTTGATAAAAAAGACATCAAAATACAAGATTATGTACCGAAATTATGTCGCTTAATAGTTATCATTGATTAAGCTGCGAACAATAATTTATGCTGTGTTTCTGGTCGATTTATATTTTTGCAGAAGCGATCTATGCGAAACAAGAAAATATATGGTGCATTATTTACCCCTATTACTCTTATTTAATCTGCTTAAATTTGTAATGTTTATTTCCCAGTTTCACTTTAAAAAATTTTTTTTTCAATTCAATGAGGCTCGGTCATTATCATAAACGATTACAATGCAAAATGAGTTACACTCATCATAATTGAGAGCACTGCAAATATCATTATTGACAAGATCAACGAGTGACTTTTTCGATAACATTCTGCATTATTGTCCGAATGAAGGTAGATAATCCGTTATCCTGATCTATATGTTGATGTTACATTCTGTACATTCCACTAAACGTTGACAATGTTCAAATGTTTTGTCGGTATTAAATGTCGAAGATATTATATTAGTTTGCAAAGTTTACGAAAGGTTCTTGCACAATAGAAATGACTTGCTGTTGCAGCTACGAAAGAGAACGATGGAGAGGAAAAACTCGCGAGAGGGTATATTGAACAGCATCTCACTGAGTAAGAAGAACGAAGCTAATGGCAATGGGCAGAGCGATAACAAGGGCGAATTCGACGACCTGATATCCGCGTTGCGCACCGGCGATGTGTTTGGCGAAGACATCGCCAAGTTCAAGAGATCGAAGCGGCGACCGGTCACACCTAGCGGGCAAGAGTCGCGCAGGCACAGCACTCATCGTGAAGATTCTCGAGAGCGTCATTAAAACCCCTGAGATGAATGTCGATTGATACTGCCAAACGAAGCGGACGGGGAAGTTGTCACTTGGATATTACTTCGAATTGAAAGGAAAAAATAGCAAGTACGATTGCCCTTCTAAGGGTTCAAACGCGATAAGAGAGCTTTCAGCGCGAATTTTCGGCACTGCGACAAGTGCACCTAAATCTGCGTCCCTCCATGTCGTTTGTAGGTGTCTCGTACAAAACAACTCGGCACTATGGGAAGAGACGTTGACTCAAGAACGTGTTTCTGTAAGAAAACATATTTCTACCGACACGCGCGACAATATGATGTGAAAAATCGTATACGATTCGAATAATCGTAAAGATTTGATTGCGTAGTTAGACGAGAGTTCTTCGTTCCTAGAGATTTTTTACAGTTCTCGGACGTAAAAAGCGCAATACACAACATTGTGAACATTGTGAACTTTCGAAGAGGTTTTCCATACGACGAGTTGAGCGTCGCTGTTAAAATTATTCGCCTACAGGAATTTAATATAGCCTTAATGTTGCGTAGTACTTTTCCAAAGGATTTTTATAAACATATTGTTGAGATTCCACATCAAATAAACAGGAAAGAGAGGAATTTTTTGGATTTTTCCGCATGTTTCTACGGACATTTTATATGAGAAAGTACACACGCTTTAACGAGAAAAAGCTCGATCGTGGAATTGGCGTTGCGTTAGCGCTTCTGCGGAGAAGTTTCACAGTAAGCTCCCGACGGATCTATAGGTACAAGAGTTTCTCTTTGTGATTGAGCAATTTACAATACAGTACAATTACAATTCGATACGAGTGACTTAATTTATTTTCCAAACGTTTACATCGGCGATAAAGAGATGACAGCAAAGCGCAGTGTTCATTGCAAAACTTCTAATGTGTTTCGATAAAAATCTGTGACGATCAAGGATGTCCTCACAGCGAAAGGACAACGAGATCGGACGTAGCACATGTATGAAATAAGAGAAAAAAAGAAAATTCTCGCGAATATAATCTCAGAGGTATCTGTCGATCAAAAGGAGGATCAAAACTCGTATTCGTTGTACGGTGAATAAAGGTAGTCAAAAAAAGAGTAGTTGCGCAATGTAATTAATCAACGCATCGTATGCGCGCAATTATCTCGAGGAAGTAATTATTCTTCATCGCGTAACCTTGATGGCAGGCGCATATCAAATTATTGATATTTTTAGGAGGACCGCACGCAATATGTGTGCGAGCCGACGGAGCTGCGAGCTCCGTCGGCTTGCGATTTATTTGTTAAGAGAGGAGGATGTACGAGATTGTACATGAACAGCTAAAGAGAGCGATAACAGTCACGGCGGTATCGGCCGAACTGTGCGCGAGGCGAGTCTTACTTTGTACATATAGCCGCTATTTTTGTCTATTTCGTTGATCGAGATCAAGCTGTGATCGGGAGCACAATTGAACTTTGCTGGACCTCGACGACGTCGACGGTGACGGCGACGGCAACGGCGACGTCTCGCTCCGACGATGAAGCGCGATGATTCGTCGGTGAGAGACGAGACGAGGCGTCTATAAAGTTCCTGTTCGTGGCATCGAAATCAAAGCAGTGCAGACTATAAATTTGCGCAAACTTGTAACTTGTATAATTGAAGACATATTTATTAATCGTAGTAGTTGCGGGGAGAAACAATTGTGATGGTAGCTTTTTTAATTGCGTTTCACCGGTGAGTGACCATCCAGCCGTTATTGGAAGATTTGCTTAGAATTTTATGGACGTTTGGAATTGTCGTCGAGAATGCGAGAACAGCATCGTTCGCGAGAGAAATAAATTTCTCGGCCGTCATAGCGAGTACACATCCGTCGACACTCATAGACACGCGAAAAAGAAGGGCCTAGACAAGCAGTAACGATTGGTTTACTGCTTCCAGAAAATTACAAGTCTGATTTTGTATCTTAACAAAACCGAAAGAAAGAGAGAGAGGGAGAGAGAGAGAGAGAGAGAGAGAGAGAGAGAGAGAGAGAGAGAGAGAGAGAGAGAGAGATATGACTTGAGTATGATCTGAAACGATTAGAAAAAGCATGTTGCGCCGGCTCCGTGCCGCACCCGAGAAATTAAGGCTAGTTTCCGATGTGTAGAAAAAAATCAAGATATACGGAAAGTGATTAGAGAAATTTGCTGTATAGTAGTCGATGTTTTGTAAGCTTTTGTACTTTTGTAAATATCTAATATATCTATGTGTTCTCGTTCCTGTGGAGCAATGGCCATTCTGCAAGAGAATCAATGTCCAATTAATATATTATAAATAAATATATACATATATATATATATATATACATATATATATATATATTTATGCATCGTCAATATATCACACATGTACTAATACATGAAGAAATATATCAAATAAATGTAAGATCTTAATGACATTTGGTGTCTTTGTTTATGTTATTCATTTGGGAGAATTCACTTTCATTTATATAATTTTGTGCGTAAAAATTACATTTTTTATACTTGTATTTCGTAAATTATGAAATTATCATGCAGGCAAAAAATAGTTAATTAACATTAGGAAAGAATTCTTAAGTGATACATTTATTGTTGGATTACCCTACGATTCTAACGGTTCATGTTTGTGCTGCACTCATAATTGCGTGGTTGAGAAACACGATACCGTGCGCAGACTTACATTATGTTTAACGGCAAGCACGAAGATGATTTTTTTTCTCTGCACGACAGAGAGAGAGGGAGGGAGGGAGAGAGAGAGAGAGAGAGAGAGAGAGAGAGAGAGAGAGAGAGAGAGAGAGAGAGAGAGAGAGAGAGAGAGAGAGAGAGAGAGAGAGAGAGAGAGGGAGAGAGGGAGAGAGAGAGGGAGAGAGGGAGAGAGGGAGAGGGAGAGAGGAGAGAGGGGAGGGAGAGAGAGGGAGAGGGAGAGAGGGAGAGAGGGGGGAGAGGGAGAGGGGGAGGGAGAGAGGGAGAGGGAGAGAGGGAGGGAGAGGGAGGGAGGGAGAGAGAGGGGGTGAGAGGGAGAGAGAAAGGGGGAGAGGGAGGGAGAGGGAGAGGGAGGGAGGGGAAGGGAGAGAGAGGGAGAGGGAGAGAGGGAGAGGGAGAGGGAGAGAGAGAGGGAGAGGGAGAGAGGGAGAGGGAAAGGGAGAGGGAGAGGGAGAGGGAGAGAGAGAGGGAAGGAGGGAGAGGGAGAGAGGGAGGGAGGGAGAGGGAGAGAGAGAGGGGGAGAGAGAGAGGGAGAGAGAGAGAGAGAGAGAGAGAGAGAGAGAGAGAGGGACTAGCAGTAAAACAAGTGTGAGGATAGCCGCGATAAGAAATGCAGACGAGTAATAACACGGTGAAAAAAGTGACACGTACCCGTAATAATTCAACAATAATGAGCATTTATTCAGTTACAAAAGTTGTGACAAATCTGAAAGTGTTGCCCATCGTAAAAAGACCAATACGTAAACGAATTAAAGTCGAGAGAAAAGAGAGTCTCCTTTTCCTGTTCGGCGTTCTAAAATATTTGTTGTTGAATTGTCCAGAAGACTTCTTATTGGTCCATGTTGATGCTGATATACCAGTGGGCAAAGCTAACGACCCGTGGTATATTCTAAACATGCTTATCGATGATATATTGTTCAATACTTGTGTGTGGTCGGAAACCGCAATAACAGCTAACAACCAAAATAACAGTTTCGATCACACAATTCCTTATTCGACTGAGATTTATTTTCCTCATTTAATTCGTCGTCGAATAATCTAACGAATATTCTAATGTCAAATATTCTACAATCTTGACGAAATTTGCTAACTATTAGGTCAATCGGAAAGTTCCGTCCGTTTTCTTGCAAAACGTATAGCTTTATTTAAGAAACGAAATGAAAAAGTACATCAATCAAAATATTGTCCATCGTTAGCGATGACTTTTTCCCATCTTTCGGTCAACAAACGAATTCCGCGGCGAAAGAATGACTCATCTTTGGAGGCTATCCAGTCAGTGACACATTTTTCGACGTTTTCAAAAGAATTGAAGCATTCCTCAGCAAATGCGTGTGCCATCGACCGAAACAAGTGGTAGTCGGAAGGGGCACAGTCTGGTGAATAAATCGCATGGGGTAACATTTCCCAGCGAAGTGCTTCTAACATTTTCTTGACAGATTTGTGACGTGAGGCCGAGCGTTGTCATGAAGCAAAATCACTTTATGCTGTCTCGTTTCATATTCTCGTCGTTTTTCGTGCAATGCTCGGCTCAAACGGATCATTTGTTCTCTACAGAGATCCTCTGTGACTGTTTGATCACTTTTCAACAGTTCATGGTACAGCACACTCTTCTGATCCCACCAAATACAGAGCATTGACTTCTTTCCGTGGATATTCCGCTTTGGCGTCGATGTTGAGGGTTGGCCGGGATCGCAAACAGTTCTTCGACGTTTGGGATTGTCAAAATAAATCCATTTTTCATCTCCAGTAATGATACGATGTGAAAACCCCTTTCTTTGTTGCCTAGCGAGCAGAATTTCGCAGGTGGTTTTTCGCCTTTCAATGTCTCTTGGCTTCAGTTCATATGGGATCCATTTTCCTTCCTTGTAAACCTTTCCTAAGGCTTTCAAACGATCGGAAATGACAGATTGAGCACAAGTTAATGTTGCAAGTTGCTTTTGCGTTTGACATGGGTCTTCGTCCACCAATGCCTGCAATTCTTCGTCTTCGAATATTCTTGGCCGTCCAGAACGTTCTTTGTCCTCTACATCAAAATCACCACTTTTAAAGCGTCGAAACCGTTCTCTGCATGTTTTATCGGAAGGAGCATTATCACCATAAACTTCTACAAGCATTCGATGAGCTTCAGCTGCAGTTTTCTTCCAATTGAAGCAAAAGATTAACACTTGGCGCAAATGACGCTTATTTGGCTCAAATTTCGACATTTTCGATGCAGTAAAAAACAATGTTATTGATGCAAACGTATACTTTTATGTACTGAATGTTATTGACAGATGTCAAAACAAATTATTAAGCTTCGTTTAGACATTAGAGGTTAACGACAGTTCTAGCTATAACTACTTGTCGCTAAACGGACGAAACTTTCCGATTTACCTAATAACTATACCTAACTACCCTAACTGTTTACACAAGCGACATATTTGCAAATTGGAAATTATGTTTGCGTGTGCAAGAATGTACATTCACAAACGTCATACGTAATAAAAATAATCGCGGAACATAAGCATTAAAGCATGCGGAGACTCCAGTAACAGCTAATAACCAGAATAATATTAGGTGCGCAACTAAGTTCCCGCTGTTTTTCAAGAGATGGCTCCAGTAGTAAGTGCTGGTCGATTGTGACATAACCAAAACGTCATGAACCAAGCTTAGACATATGGTAAACAAACCGCTTTGACACATTAGTGATTTTGTTTTTGCGTCATATACTTTTGGTTGTGTGAAAATGTCTGATTTTGTGCCAAATAATCGTCATTTGCGGGAAGTGTTGCTTTTCTTCTTTCATTCGAAGAAAACGGCGGCTGAAGCGCATCGAGAACTCCAAAAAGTTTACGGAGATGCTGCTCTAAGTGAAACAACGTGCTGGTGTGCGGTGATTTCGTTGTTGACGACCGTTCGCGTGAAGGAAGGCCAAAAACCTTCGAAAACGCTGAATTGGAGGCATTGCTAGATGAGGATCCGTGCCAAACGCAAAAAGAGCTTGCTTCAGCATTAGGAGTTACCCGCCAAGCCATTTCCAAGCGATTGCATGCGTTGGGAATGATTCAAAAACAAGGAACTTGGGTTCCTTATGATTTGAAGCCAAGAGACGTTGAGCGTCGTTTTTTCGCCTGTGAACAACTGTTCCAGCGGCAAAAAAGGAAGAGTTTTCTTCATCGCATCGTTACGGGTGATGAAAAATGGATTCATTACAGCAACACAAAGAGAACAAAATCATGTGGACTGCCCGGTCATGCTTCTACATCGTCGGCTCGGCCGAATATTCACGCTGCGAAGGTTTTGCTGTGTATTTGGTGGGACCAGGGTGGTGTTATTTATTATGAGCTGTTGAAACCGAACGAAACCATCACTGGGGAGCAGTATCGAACTCAATTGATGCGATTGAGCCGAGCACTGCGCGAAAAGCGGCTACAATACGAGCAGAGGCACGAAAAAGTGATTCTACAGCATGACAACGCTCGGCCTCACGTTGCCAAACCCGTTAAAACCTACTTAGAAACGTTCAAATGGGAAGTCCTACCCCACCCGCCATATTCCCCAGATATTGCGCCGTCCGATTATTACTTGTTCCGTTCGATGGCACATGGTCTGGCTAATCAGCAGTTCCGCTCATATGAAGACATCTCAAAATGGCTTGATTCGTGGATAGCTTCAAAAGACGAACACTTCTACCGTGACGGTATTCGAGCTCTGCCAGAAGATGGGAAAAAGTTGTCGCTAGCGATGGGCAATATTTTGAATGATTCATTTGTAACCATTTTTTCACAATAAAGTTGCATTTTCATCAAAAAACAGCGAGAACTTAGTTGCGCACCTAATAATTTCGATCACCCAATTTCCTATTCGACTGACAAGGGGAGGACACATCGACTGGGAAACAGTTTGGAACGAAACTTACAAAGTTAATAGTACTTGACTACTAATAACTCATGGTAATAGCATACGATGCAATACCTCTCCGTTTTCGAGAAAAAACGGTCTAAAGGAAAGAGCCAACGATCGTTGAATACCCTTCTTACTAACTCGTACACTTTGTTGGCTCTTTCCTTTAGACCGTTTTTTCTCGAAAACGGAGAGGTATTGCATCGTATGCTATTACCATGAGTTATTAGTAGTCAATTACTATTAACTTCGTAAGTTTCGTTCCAAACCGTTTCCCGGTCGATGCGTCCTCTCCTTGTGAGATCTATTTTTCTTGTATTTTTCTCATTTAATTCGTCGTTGACGAATTGAACGAAAACGACATCTCTCATGGTATCGTCTCGCTTGATATCACACGGAGAACTTTTAAAATTGCATTCCATAGCATACACGTTGTGATAAAAAAAATGACACTTTGTCCGACTTCTTACGACCACTGGAAATATCCAAAATAAATTATTTTCTTATTTTTAAACACGTTAATTAAACAATAATTTTTAAACATTAACCCTTTGCGGTCAGCAGATTTCGTTCTTGGGAGTACCAGCAGGTCGGAGCAAATTTAGCGTTTCGCAGTTACTTTTCCGTACAGGATTTAAAGTCAATATATGGATATTAAAACACATAGAATTTGTTGAAATTGATTTGTTGTGTTTAATACTACTTATAATACGTAAAAATACGAAATTTTTAATTTCTGTAATTTTCTAAAGTATGATATTTTGCAAAACAATCACCGATATGAAGTCCTGGCTTCCGTGTACAAGTATCACAGTACGTGTGTGTTTGTCGTCTG